TGCAGGTACATGCTAAAATGTTGGATGTAGACATTCCTTATTCGTTACGAATTTTTAAAAACCTATATTAATAATAATAATAATAATAATAATTGTCAATTTATATAGCGCATAATGTAAATACTTCTATGTTTAAGGCTGTCTCTTATACACATCTAGATGTGTATAAGAGACAGCACTTAGCGGGGGTCAGACTTTTTAAAATAAAAACACCAAAAAGAAAGGGTGGTTCGGGGGTCCTCCCCCAGGAAAATGTTGATTCTTAGATGGCGGGAAATGAGCTTTCCTGACTTCTGAGGTGTCTTTTAATGACTTCCAAGTTCTTCAAAATTCAAGGTTTTCCCCTTTTGTAAACGGTCAGGTAAATTCTTCTCATTCTTAATACAGTAAATAGGCCTATGTGTGTACCGGTATACAGAGATTTTTTAATTTTTTAATTTTAATTTTTTTTAATTTTATTTTTTTTCCCAAGGTGGACACACTGACCCCACCCCCCCCCCTTCCCAGATCCGCCAATGCGCTTTACCGCAAGGAGTGGGATAAATTATTAAAAGTTTCACCTAAAAAAATAAATAAATATACGATTAGAATGTTAATAATTAAGTAATTTAAAAATACAGAATTCTATTTACTTTGTTAAAAAATAATTGTTAAATATTTATTTTCTTAGTCGTATTAGCTTACTTAAATTTAACTCTTTTTTCCATATCTTTTTTTCCCTTTTCCTTTATTTTCTTTCATACTTACGACTTGTCTCTCTTCCTTTACTTCCCTGTAATTTCTTTCTTTACCTTTTCTTTCCCTACCCCCTTTTCCTCCTTTCATTTTTCTACCTCTTTTCCTGATTTCCATTGCCTCTTCCTTTTCTTACCTTATATTTTCCTTTTCATTCATTTCCACAATTCTTATTCTTTCCTTTCACTTTCATTGCTATTTCCTTTCTTTTTCTTTCTTTATTTTTTCGTTTTCTTTCTTTTTCTTTTCCTTTCTTAACCTCCTCGTTTTCTTTCTTTTTCTTTTCTTTCCCTTTCATTTTCTTTTTCTTTTCTTTCTTTACCTTTACATTTTCTTTCTTTCCTTTCCCCTTTCGTTTTCTTTCTTGGCCTAGCGGGTATGAAAAACCAGACACAATTTGAACAATGCAATAAATACGTGTGTTTCTTCATGAAATAGTGCTATATAGGCCTAAATGTTCTAATCCACAGATCCTATATATAATATCAACGTATCAAAATTTAAATAACACCCCTAATCAACCGGGTGGGCTCGACGAACAAGGACCTTTTGTGTAGCATAATGTATTAATGTTGATAACAAAATTATTTTATCTGGTACCAATCTAAGCTCTTCTTTCCTTAGATGTTAGATGTGCTTGCAAAGAGAGCCACATTTCACACTGAAAGGTGTGTACGACATCAGTAATGTTATGTCAATTCCAAGAATGTTTAAGGTTACCGGTATATCGGTTGATGAGGAATTTATAGCAAATTGCATCAATTTATTTTGCAAAAACAAGGTTTCCAGCTTCAGAGGGGGGTTGGCACATCCCCTGTCCGCACAAGGGCATACATTGGCGCTAACACCAGGCGCGTAACAGGGGTCTTGGGTCAGAGTGGGTATTTATTTTCCCGTTAGTAATTTACTATACCACCCCAACCCACTCCCCATATAGAAAACAACACGACAGGGCTTATCTTATTTATAATATAGGCCACACACGTGTGTTTGAAACTAAATATAAGCATTTTCATCATGGTTTTATTTATTACAAACATAATAGAATAATACTTTCACCATCAATACACATTGAGGCCTTTCTTTTAGGTTAAAAAGATTTATCTTAAATTTGCCTTTATTGAGTTTGGGACTATTATGTGTTTAAAAGGATAAACCTAAAAAAGCCCTAAAAAATATTTTTGTGTTTTTAATTCTACTTTCGTCGGAATTGATGAAATTTGAGAATTTTAGGCACTTTCAGAGGATGCATTTGTCAAGGGGTGGGCAAAGATTTTCCAAAGATGGATATTTTCCCCTTGTCCCCCGGTGTTTTTAATTCTAATTTCGTTGGAATCTATCAAAACTTCCTAAAAGTTAACACGCCAATCATCCACCCCCCCACCCTTAATGAAAAATATTTTTCTACGCCACTGGGCTATGATTGATAATGATGATGATGTTGATAAAAGGCCTAAAAATAATGTTATTGTTATAATTAGGTCTACTACAATTGTCATATAGAAAAATAATTAATTAGATGAGTCTACAGAAATTAATTTAGTCTTAAATTATTTATGAATTACAAACTCATAAAATCGTCATCTGTATAGACCTTATCGTCATTAAAATTGTAGGCCTATTTCATATTATTAGGCCTATGTTAACAATAGACTGATTTTAATTCATTAAGATTTGTTGGAATACATTTTTCAGCATAGCATTGTTTGGTTTCTAATAAAATCTATATTATTGATTTCTTCGTCGTCATCATAAGATGAAGCAAACATTAACATGTGGTATGCATAGATTGTTACGTTCGGGAGAGTAATACGTTTAAGCCATTTTGTATAAATTATCGATAATAATTATTTCTAGGATTCCATGAAGCATATTTGGGTATTATTATTATTATTATTATTATTATTATTATTATTATTATTATTATTATTATTATTATTATTATTATTATTATTATTATTATTATTTAAATACAAAATTTTGCATAATTCAAAGGAAACAGACTCTAACATTAAACTGCATAATTATAAATTAGAATTGTCATTGTATAGACCTGTTATACGTCGCAATAACGTGGTATACAGTATTATCAGAGTCACCCAAATAACTCATTAATATTTCAAATTTCGTTTCACCCTTATTTACTCCAAGATAAGCTATATGTTTTGAACTGAGAGATGTTGTGACAACGGCAGTGGAACGTTTTCGAAAGTGGGTAGGGGACATTTCAAAAGGTAATAAATCTGGTATGAGAGCGAAGCGAGCATGTAGGCTGGGGGCCAGTATGCCGCCAAAGGACATCGGTGGGGATAATCCCCCCTGGAAGCTACGGATATTTTACAAAGTTTTATAGGCATCAAGCTACTGTTATATAACTTTATAATTGTTGTACTGTATTTGTTAAACAAAGTCGAAGTCGGGATTGCATCTACGATCACAATGAATTATTCATCATGTGAGAGATATCCTGGCAGTGACGAAACCATATCTTTTCCTCCGACAGATGGGAGCCGGAAAATGGCATTTCAACAGAGGCGGGTGGCGTCAGGAAGTCGAATTAGAGGGGGTCCAGGGATGCACAGATAGTGTCCACCCGCCTAAGCCCCACCATGGTTGGGGCTGAGGTAAGAAACGAAAATGATTATGCAACTCTATATGACCGGAAATGGCACTCTCAGATTTAAATTTGAATGTACGGTAATTTTCTCCATCTTAAAATAATTTTGAAAAAAAAAAATTGAGGGTGTGGGCCCGTGCCGGCTGGACTCCTCTATGCCTACTGTTTAATATACTGTACCATTTAACCTAGCCTATCATTTTGTTTAACAAATGATTATTCGTAATATATATAGGAGGATAGGTTTCAAGCAAACGTTATAGACACGCGCTTTACAGAGACGTGTTACACAGGTGTACCTATACACTGGTTGCTCAACTCAAAAAGAAAACTTGTAATGTTTGTTTGAAAATGAAAGGCCTAATAATTGGTCGATTTATAAGCCGAAAATAAACATGGTCTCTAAGCACCAAAAAATTATAATAATAATGAAATTATAGCGTTCGATAACAATGTTTGTCACTGGTGCTAGAAGCAGTCACAAAAGTGGGGTGGGGGAAGGAAATGCCCCCACCGCCCCCTGCTTCCGCCGTCGTTTGTTGTAGGCCTAATTATGCGAAAATTATTTTACAAAATATCTAAATTAGTGCCAATATTATTAATATAATATAAAGTGCTATCACAAATAACATCATGCAAACAATATGCTTTAGAAATTCATCCCCTGTTGTAATTATAAGATTCATGATTAATTATAGAACCAGTGCAGGCCTATGCAACATTGTATTGGAAAAATCTCTGTAAGGAAAACGAGAATTATGTACACATAGTTATTTTATGCATTTATCACCATCAATTGATTATACCATATTATACATGATTTTGAACGATATAGGTCAAACGTGGTGTTAGAAAATAAAATCTGCGGTGTTTGCATGCGCCGTGCTGATGATGTCTTACAAATTACTATTATCTTTATTACTGTCTCTGCCTTCCACTTTCGTTCTGTCGTATACAAACCTCACGTTATTACTGCATATATTATGTATATGTTTAGACAATTTTATTTTTAAGAAAGTATAACAAATACCATACGGTTTCGGCATAAAATGTATAATTTGAATAATAATATATTATTAAATAATAATAATAATTGATAATGAAAATGATGATTATGATTTTGTCCTTTCCTGTTGCAATTTTGTATATAATATTTTAATATTTATATATTTTTGTATGCACAATAATTTCAGCTTTTAGCTGCCGTTTGCATATTTTGCATAAGGCCTATACCAAAATAGAAATAGAAGATATGATGGAGGTGACGATGACAATAACGAAGATGATAATTTATTGCATTGAGTTTCCTATTACTATTTTAGGTATTGTAATATTATTTGAATATTGTAGACTAAATATACCGTAGGCCACTAATTAACGGTATTGATTCATTTTGTTAAATTTGTACAGGCTTGAAGTTCAACATCGTGACCGGCAAATTCATTATCAATACGATTTAATATCTTTTCCACGATCAGCACACATTGAATCAGCCAAAGTATTTATATTGGCTGTATCTATTGATCAAATGAATATTTATGAATTATTCATGATATCCAAGGATATTATGACGTCAAGACCATTAAGTCATTATACAGCGAGTCGCAATAAGTTCTCGGTGTCATCCCTACACGCGAAGAAGTGGACTTGGATTTAATCGTTGTTGTTGCAGGAAGTAATTGTTGCCGACAGAGGTATTTCTTCTGCATATCATGTTCCATTATTTTGCAGTCATATAAAAGGATGTTGTCTTGTCTTTGCGTATCTTCTGACACTGTGTATAACCCCTTTGCGTGTATTCATTCCTTGATATGACGTCGAATGAATGGTGTAATTGCGATTGATTAATTCTCGAAAAGCTCAAAATGTCACAGTATGATTGGGCATTTTATTTGACGGCACCATATTTGGTAGTCTGGATTATATCCTCATCTATGAACGCCACTGCGTTTGTTGTGTTCTTGAGGAATAAGTTGCTGCACTCAGCGACCAACCTCTTGAACGCGTTTCTGGCCGTCGTCGACCTGTTCTTGGTCACCACGATGTCTTTAACGATTATCTTATCACTCTTTTTGCAAGAAAATAGTTACAAATCACTACTTGGTGTATTAAGCGGGATGACTTTATATTTCATGACTATGTCTCCGGTAGTGTCGGCTGTAATAAGTGTGTATAGATACAGAACAACTGTCAGCCTTAAAGAAAAAAAAAAGTTACTAATGAGATCAGCGGTTATGCCGATGGGTATCTGCGCTGTTATTCCTCTGAATACCATTATATGTCCAATTGCTGGCTGGGGCTACTTTCCATTACAGCTTCTCTGCCCAATGGATGATATTACCACGGCAGCAGATAATGCGTTTACTATCTACCTAACAGTAACTATATTGATCATCCCATCAGGTATTATAACTTCATCCTACTATAAGATATATAAAGCCATCAATCTGCATTCTGATTCATTGAAATGCTATCCAATGAAGGGCAACGTTTCCAAAACCAGACGGTCCGTCAGACATATTCGACTTATCGTTGGTGTTTTTATATGCGTTTGGATGATATACTTTATAGTGTTGGTTGTATCCGTTTTTGTACTCGAGGACAAAGTTCTGGCAGTGGGTCTAATTCACATCTTAGTAGGCGCTTCAACAATTTCTAATTCGTTCTTGTATGTTCTGATGAATAAACTTTACAGAAAATGTACCTCGAGGTTGATAAGGTGTCAAGGCGCGTATGTGCGGTCATATGCGTCGCGTATGCTTGGAAGCAACATCCGATTGGGCGAACAGAGGCGAAATGAAGTATTGCCAGAGGTGAGCGAGATAGAAGCGAACGCTAGTCGTAACAGAAACATAGCCTTTCTGCCTATTAATATGAATACAATTGCTGAAGAAAATGACGCTTCTATTTTTGGAGTTAAACAGAAAGAAGAGAATGATGTAGGTGTAACTAACGAAGGTAGAGACTCGGTACCACCGATGCTAAATGTGCGACATAAGTCAAGGGTTGAGATTCGGAGACTTCATGAGAAACATGAAAGTGCTCGACGGTTGTCGATCATGCTTGGCCATTTCAGCAGCGATGACGAAGCCTACGAAGAACTCATGGTTAGCCGATCAGGTCACAGTAGTATTAGCATTATTGGGGGGAATGTTGACAATCTGCCAAAAAGGACGAAAGGTAGAAAAAGTGACAAGGGGGGCAAAGGTAACAAGAAACGGAGATCGAAAAAAGAAAAAAGAACAGTAGAATCTCTTAAAATATCTAACAACATTTACACAAATGCTGTGTATTCAAATAAAAATAAAATTAGGGACATAGGTAGGCCTAAGCAGAAAGAGACGACCCGTCGGAAAAACAGCAAGCGGAATAGTGTTAATGTTGAAAGAAGACATAGAAATGAAGCACTAATTTGAGGGAAATCATAAGAAACGTTTTTACATGTCATAAATAAAAACAACTTAAATTTAGTTTTATAATTATTAAATTGATTATTATCTTCCAAAGACTCTAGTCCAACATAGGCATACGTTTGACTGTTACGAACATTCTTACCAAATCTACTCCAATTTATTTAGAGTATATGCAACGATTACTTTATCGTATATATATACACATCTATATATATAGAAAATGTTTTACATGTCTATATACATATATATATGTCTGTATATATATATATGTCTATATATATATACTGTATATATATATACATAAATATGTGTATATATATACTTATTGATTTATATATCTTTCTATCACATTTTTACATTGTTGATAGTCCATTATTATAATTATATTTAGTCATATATTGTGGTATTTATTTTTGTACACAGAATGTGTACTCAACGTGTTAGACAATTAGACATTTCACCATCAAAAATAGTATAGGCCTGGCTTCCTTAAAATTTGCTACGCTGTCGCACAGTGTTTCCAGTGCAATCGATGTACTCGTAGCAGTCCCGGACGCAATACGGAAGAATCTCCAATTCGACCGGGAAAGCTGTCGGCGATAGCGTGTAGTGATTGTATGGAAACTAAGTTTTCTGGAAAACTATAAATAGCACATGCATTTTTAGATTTTCTACTTTTCTATAAGAGAATGACTTTCCAATGTCAGTGTGTGTATTCAGAATAAAAAAAGGACATTTAGGCCCAATAAAAAAAATTGTTAGTTTATCATCCCTGCCCGCGTAACTATCTTGGACCGCATCGATTTTTTTTTTTTAAATTTTATATATCATAAAATGTTTTAGGTGTACAAACTCATAAATACCGGCGAAACGAAGTAGGAGATAAAGAAAAAATCGTAGCCGTCGCCGTTCACGAGACGTCTGGAAATACTTAATATTACATTCCAGACGCTGTAATACTCATGACGTTCACATACAAAGCGATAAGATGGATTGTAATATCAAAACGTCTGGAGTTTTTAAACTAGCTACGGCTTGCTTTTCCCTAGCTCGATACAATAGGTACACGCTTCACGATGTTCGTTCTGTAGAAAAGAATTGTACTTTCCATTGAAGTTAATTTACACTTGTTTGCCATGCCATTGTTAATAATGGCAATATGTGATGGGCCAAAAAGGCAAGTTGTGTAACTGTCGTATGACCTACCTGCTCCTAGGCCTAGCCTAAGCCTAGCTAGCTCTACGTAGTACGGTACGCTAGCTAGGGAGTAGAGTGTAGGACTAGACTATCTTACACCTAGTTTAGATTGGTGCAGCTCACTGAGCGATATTTGGTGCTCAGCACTTTCTCCTATACAGATCAATGACATTTTTTGATGACTATCCTGTAGTGTAGTAGGCCTAGCCTATGTAGGCTAGGCCTATACTATTACTACTGCTAGTGCTAGGCTTTTGTGAATAAAATATAATATTCAATAACTGTAATGTCTGAGATTTTTACATTTAAGTATGTAAACTATTTTTGATGCATGTAAAGTAGAAGCTGTATCAAGATTCCTTAAGCTGCATACTCCTTGTTCCGCCTTTCAATGGATTCATGAGTATTTTACAAGTTTCTGCTGTTTCGAACTTAAATGCCGGCATGGAGAAAACAAAAAAACCCCTCCCTCCCTCATCATTTTTCAAATTTAGTCGGATGATAAACTAACAATTTTTTTTTAATTTGGCCTTACAGTATATTCATTAACATACTTTAATAAATAGTTTGTATAATAACTAAATAGAAATTTAACCTATTACGTAAGCTATACTCTTTTGTGAATGAGAAAACATTTTATGCGCAGTAGTAAAACATTTTCTATTTATTTGTTAATTCAGCAGAAAAATGAAGAATATTGCAATATACTTTTTAAAGCAGTGATATGTTTTGACCCGTCCGATTTGAGACCACCTCCAATTAAAGATCACATATCTGCGGCCCAAATATATATTTGATACATAATTTTATTTGAGAGAATGTAATATATTCATATTAACTGAAAGTGTAAAACGACTGTATTGGAGGCTAATAAATATTCCTAAAATGGCTGAACACGTTTAGTACTTCGTGATAATTATTCTGTGTGAATATCCTAGGAATCATCCATCTTGGCAACGGCCACCAGACACAACATTGGCGACGAGTATTGAGGATAGCTTCGTGCATTTGTAGAGATAAGTATGTCGAAATTTGATGTACCAGTAGTTGAGTATTTTGACGCAACAAAACCCCAAGAATGGCCCAGATGGATCGCCCGCTTTGATAACTACTTAGTCATGGCGGCGAATATCACTGCTGATGTGAGAAAGCGAGCGCAGCCTTTACACTTTATTTGGTCCGAGTAATTTTTAACACATTTGATATATTATCCGACAAAGGATCAACGTATGCCCAGGCGAAAATGTTTCAGTTTTTATCAAGTCACATATCTTTCAATCCACATTGGACTCTAAATTGAAGAAGCATGGTCCACGGGTAGAGTGTACTCTCGATCATGGGCGTCGATCGGTGGGGACTTTTCGAAGTAGGGGAGGGGGACATCATATTGATTGTTTTCTCCCCCCCCCACTACTTTTCACCAATCTTCTATAATTAAAACCCCACTTTTAAAAGTGAATGGAAAGAATAACAATTACGCATGACTCATGAATTTTGTCTGTTCACTTTTCTAAGTGCGGTACTTATTTTCCGGACCAAAACCGAGTAAAAACGCAATTGTTTATACATTTCGTAATCATCTCAGAAACCACTAGTTCGATTTTATGGGTGCAACGGTTATCAAAAGCTAAATTAATTGTGAAAACAATGTACGGAACTTTGTTAAAATTGGAAGCGTGTATACTTATAAAAAAAAGTACACAATTTATAACTATTTATTCCTTTTGTATATTATTATGACCCGTACGTATATAGTGTTTAATATTATCTACATACTACGTGTAGTGCGCGTACTACGTGTACTACGCGTAATACGTGTACTACACCAAAGAGTATAAATGCTCTTTGACTACACGTACTACGTGTACTACGCGTGGTATTTTGACAAGGTTGTACTAATCGCGGTAAAACTGTGTCAAAATACCATGTACAGTACGCGTAGTAGTACTCTTGAAATTAATTCCCTTTTTCTCGGGCCATTCTTTTTGGCTATCCTACTTCCTCCTCTCTCTGGCTACAGGAAATTTTGAAGGAGGGGGTAAAAATGTTTGTAAATGAGCTCCCTCCCCTTCCCCCCCCCCCCCCCCCACAAAAAGGGGAAAAAGACTTGCACATCTCCCAGTTTCTCCTCCCACTGGCTAGGTTCAAAGCAAAAAAATAAGCTAGAGTAATTAAAAATCAACTTACAGTATGTCACCTTCTTAAAAACAATCAGGCAAAAGCAGGATATGATTTGATGCAGCCAAAGTAGTGGGGTTTCTTAGTCCCAAAAAATGGCATGATACTTCAAATTTGAGTAGAAGCATGAAACTTATGTATGTCAACTCATATTTTCCACTATTTTCATGTTTGTAGGACGTATATTGACTTACTTAACTCTACAGTACATAAGAAGAAGCAAAGTGACCATATTCTTCAGTAATTAGCAATACAGTAGCACAGAGAACTCTATTTGTTTTTGTTAGCGATTAAAATTCATGCATATTCCTATAGGGGTGAGTGCATTTGTCCGAAGGTCAAGTTTTTTTTTTCTCGAAGAAAGCTCAGACTGAAATTCCTTGATATCATACTTCTATTCTAGCACAGGCCCGTAGCCAGGTCATTTCAAGGGGGGGGGGTTCTCTGGGCGTGGGGTCCAGGGGCCTGCCTAAGGGCCACGGTGGGGTCAGGGGCGAACCCCCCGAAGCCAGAGCAGTTTTTTTGTTTAATGGGTCTATATAATGTTTTAAAAGCAGTTATGTTTTGAAAAAGATCTATGTAATAAAAAGGTGGTAATATAATAAAATTAGAAAAATATTTTCTGAGAATTGGCATGTTTAAATAACACCGAAAGATATAAAAAATAAACCCTCATCGCATAATCAATATCAATGTAAGGTACAGGTTCTACCCGTCTCCTTATGTTATGCTACATGTTAAATTTTTATTTACTTCCTTGTTCATTATACCGATGCAATTCCTATATAAATTAATGGTTAATTCATGTGGAACTATGTTTATCTATAAAAGTTATGTAACATTACATAATTATTTCATAGACGCTTTGGTATATTTTAGTGTAGCCCTGTGTTTCTACGCAGTAATAAGTAGTTCATAATCATAATTTATGAACTACTTATTACTGCGTAGAAACACAGTAATAAGTAGTTCATAATCATAATTTATACTTTTTATTATATAATATTATTTAACAATGGTTTATACAAATGTTTTGTATTTGTATTATATTTGACCTGATTATATGAGAGTTACTACGATTTCAATAAGAATACAATCAAGTTAATCGTATATTAGCGCGGAGTCTGATTCCGCAGGTTCTTTGTTATGAGGATTAGCGCGTCTAATTAAGGAAAGTTTGTGGCACCGTGGCACAACAAAGCTAGAAGTCAATGTGTCAACACTGTGTAAAGTTTTGAGAAGCTAAGTTTGTCAAATCAGAGTACTGTATTGCCAGTATTGGCAAGGTATGTTGTATTATTTAACACATTTATATTATTATGTTAGCACTGTATTGCTAATGATTTTTTTTATTGTTTTTAATCTATGATTTTAAGTTAGCCTTAAGCTAGACTTATCATACTATAGGGAGACGAGCGGTATTCGCCTGTCTCAGCTGTGCGCTGTAATTTGAAGTTCATTATGCTTAGCTTAGAGTTGCTAGACATTGCTAGCACACTGTATTGTAGTGCTGTTATTTTGTAACCCAAGTTAGTATCTTGTGATACAGGTCCAGTAAGGATCATCAAGATTATGGAATGTATTACACAATGATAGTTGAATTAAATTGTTTAATATTGTAAAGAATACCAAGTTTTGTAACTGGTAGATGTAGGCTAAAGGTCATGCCAGCTACAGCATTACCGTGTATTGAAGTGCTATGTTATTTTAATTAACAGGACTTGCTATAGGCAGGGCTAAATGCAGATAAGATACAGAGTTGCATCCTAGCATGAAGCTTGTGCAAGGTGGGATTAAGTTCCTTTGTTTACTTTTATTTGAGAGTTGTGTATGACAACTATGTGTTATTTTATTTCTTGTACCTTTTTATGATTATTGTGATTGAACTGTTACTATGAGAGATGTTATGATTATTATACTTTGATAATCATGTTAGACAGCACCTTTATTTGCTATTCTTACATTAGTAATTAATTTCATTTTGATTTAATGATTCTTTCATTTTATGTTTTCTGTAAGGCAGTAAGCCAGTTGAATCATTATCAGTTACAGTACTTTAATGGAACCTATGTTACTATCACTGTGCAATTTTAAGCCAATGGTTTCTTACGAAGTTCAATGCCATAATTAATGCTAGATATAATGAACCAATTGGTCAGTTGTGGTTGCACCTCGCAATGGCTGTACTTTCATGGTTGCTATTATTGTTTTATGCTAACTAACTATTATTTTTATGATTGTTGATATGATTATATGGATCTTATAATTAATTTATTTTACTAGCTTGATGTGTGCTGGCATCTATTGCCCGGTCAAGTTGGGGGTTAAGATATAGATTGGTATAATTTCCTAGTTCCTATTCGAAATAAATAACTCGTCGTTGAAGTCAACATCATCTCTCTGACCGTTATTTCTCCTGTGTTTTACATTTGGCGTAGTCGGCAGGATAGGAACAGCAGGATAGGATCTTAACCCGAATCTGACCCCCAACTTGCACCCAGTTCCAGAGGATAAACCAGTCGTGTAGTAGGAAGCGTAGATGGTTGGAAGACTGCAGAAAGACAGAACTGAAACATTGTGTGTCGGGATAGCAGACTGTTAGCAGTAGTCATTTCAACAGCAGTGCAGAAACAAGACCATAGTCCATTATTGATATTTTTATTTATTTATTCTTGTAGTATATACATTTAGCTGTCGTGTACTAACTTTTTCTTACCCAAATAAGTTTAGTACAGAATGGAGCTACAAGCGCTACAAAAAGAAATTGAGGCTCTTCGGAAGTCACTTGCCGAGGAACAAGAGAAGTTTAAAACAGCTCAGATTGATGCTGATGAGGCCAGGGACGAGGTGAAGCTGAAGGAGGCTGAAGCGGGTACAGCTAAAGCGGTGTATGTTTCACCTGGTCAGAGATTGGAATTGTTCCAAGGGAGGCCAACTAAAGCATCCGAACCAAATATTCAAGACTGGGTTGCAGACGTCAGAGCACAGCTAGAATTGAGATGTTTGGCTCCGAAAGCAGCCGTAGCTTTTATAAAGGAAAACCTAGCTGGATATGCCCGGAAAGAGATAAATGGTAGAGGTAAGGAGGTGGAAAACAATCCTAACCGCATTCTCGAGATTCTCCTACAGGTTTTTAGTGATGGAAACACCCTTCCACAATTACAGCAGAAGTTCTTCACTTATAAACAAGCACCTCATCAAGATCTCCTTAGCCTGTCATTAGAGTTAGTGACATTGTATGATATGATTATTGCTCGAGACGCAGCTTATAAACCATGCAGGGATGCATCACTGAAAAGTAGGTTAGCTGAGGCTGTCTTAGACTGCAATCTACAGAGGGAATTGAGGCGGTTAAATATTGAATCTTCCAACCTATCCTTTTTCCAACTTAGAGACAGGGCTGTAGCATGGCTTGGAGAAGTAGGGAAAAATGCTACAGGGGCAACAGTTCAAACAGTCTCTGCAGAAACCAAGATTTTGGAGCTATTACAGAAGCAGACATCACAGATTGAAACGCAGCAACGACAGATTAGTATGCTCCAACAACAACTGAAACCCGCAAGTTGGCAACCGGCCCAGGTACCCACTCCGACTCGATGGTAACAGCAGCCCCTTAGACCACAGCACCTGAGTGGAAACCAAATCCGCCAAGACCTATTCGTCGTTGTTTTGTCTGTGACGAGGTTGGACATCTGAAGTGGGAATGCCCAAGGCGCAGAACGCAACAACCATCTAACAGTAAGAATCATTTAAACTAGGTGAGCCCCAAGTCATGAGCCAAACTGTGGGCTGCTCA